GGGAGCAGCGGGTGGGTCAGGAGAGGTCTGCCTCGCCATGTGGATCACCTCCCGGGTAGGCGGGAATCGAACTCATGTGGAAGTGGCTTAAGCTTCTCAGTGCTGTGCTTCAACCCGCTGCACCACCAGGGAGGGCCTTATAAAGGATTATAAAGCTCAAAAGTACTTATCCTTTTGTTCTGGTATACATGTAAATGTTTAGTGAATTATTGCATCAACTAAGACACTGCTGAACTGACTGATAATTTAAATTTTGAAACTCATGTTTGCTTTGTAGTGTCTTTTCTTTTGATTAAGTAATTATCGTGGTTTTTGTCTAGATTGGAGAAAATTTGAATATTGGTGTTATACAAACTGCATATGCAAATGGAAGTTCAACAAGATATCTTGAAGAAGTTATGAAGGTATTGACCAATTTTTTTTTGGTAGTTTCTTAATTATATTTAAGTTACTTCTGTGTGAAAAATAATATCCTCAAAATAGGTTGTATATGAAATTCTACTTATCTATATAAAGGTTGATAGACATAAGTAAAATATTAAATTGTTGCAAATGCAAAAAGGGAAACTCCTCCCACCCTCCTTATTCTTTACCAAGTTTACTTTAGAAAGTAAAAAATTCTTTCTAAAGTAATTCTTGTAAATTCTTTCTTTTCCCCTTTATAATGAATGTGAATCTTTTCAAGAGCTTAAACATTCAACTTAAAGCTCAGGAATGCTTTTTTAATAAAACTGCCAGAGTATCTCTTTGAATTGTAAACATCTAGGAACATAGTCATTTATCTTCTGATATCCGGGGAGTTTAAAATTGATGTCTGGCTCCAAGTTATGACTATCTGCTAATCATAGAAATATAAGAAGTTTAATTATTCCTTTGGGTAAAGACAATTAGCTAACACCATTGGCCCCCTAAATATCAAGTAAATGTAGGAAAAAGTACTTTTGACAAATGGTGCAGTGAAGTCTTGTTAAAGACAAGGCTGATGGAATAGGTTTGCCCATAGGGTTTTGCAGTGAGGGAAGATTGGGTTCAACTCATACAAATGGGTCTTATACTAAGGAACAGAGTGTTGGGGACGGGAACTAGTGGATGGAAAATTACTTGGAGGAATCTTCAGAGCTCAAGAAGGATTCTGCTAACCCAACCTAACAGTGTTTTTGCTAAGGGCAGGCCAGTGATCATTATTACTTGGGCAATGGTGGGAAGATGAGGATTCTGATCAGCTCTTGAGGATGGTGATTCTGGGTAAGCTGATATAGGATTCTTGCTAAAATTGGTTTCCTGGAGACAGGGAAGGAACCCAAGTAAAGTTTTGTTAAGGAGAGAATCATCAGTTGTACAGTAAGGTGAGATTTCTTCCTGGCTTTGCAGTCTTTTGGCAGATTGCCTGTGATGTGTATTAAACTGTAGCTTATGTGTATGCATTAATAAAATTATATCCTTGTTGTGAAGTTTCCTGGGTGGGATGTTGTGTTTCCAATTATTTCCCTATTGTCTGTGCCATACTATTTGCTCTGATAATTGGAGAGTTTGTGGCTAAAATTGCCTTTTACTTTTTTTCTCACCAGCTAGTGGTCCATTCACATTCACCATTTGTGTATTTGTTTTCAGATTCCTGCACTTCACTAGTTTTTGTCACCTCTCCATTCTTAAAGTAGGAATTGCAGAGTGGATTCCTGCGGGACCTGGAGAGGTGAAGTGAATGATGAGTAGAGTGGGTTGGATAGGTAAGGATAGCCATGCCAGCTAATGTCACCTTTAGTCAGTCTCTAAAAGAAGTTGGAAGACTGTATCTTCATGTGAATTTCATACTTTTTAAGTCTTGGCAAATGATTCAAAATCTAAAAGAAATAATGAGCCAAACATGTCTGGTGATGCTTGGCTACAGGAAATGCACTTACATTGACACCATCTAGGCTCAGCTGCCTACTTTTCACATGAATTCTCAGTTCTTGGGTTATTATTGTTTTAGTGTTTTAGTTCTTATTTTCAGTCCTGAAATTTTCTCTTGGACAAATTATACTCTTAAACAAAACACATCAGAAACTGTTAATTTCTCTTTTCATTGTCCTTTAAAATATTTTTAGTCCATCATTCCTAGGTCTCCGAAATCCAATCAGATACTGGTATTATGTGATCTCTTGTAGTTGTACTCAGTCTTCCCTTAATCATCTTTAAATCTTCCTCAGATCCATCCAAGACTTTTGAGACCAACTGTTGCTAATAAATGTCCGTAATTACTTAGAATTTATCCTAGAAACCCAGTAACTTTTTTTTTTTAAAAAAACACCTTTTGATCCCCTTCACCCATTTTTACCTGTCCTCTAACCAGTCTGTTCTTTGCATCCATGAGCTATTTTTTAATTTTAGATTCCATGTATCAAGGATCATGCAGTGTTTTTCTCAAATTTATTTCACTTAGAATAATACCCTCACATTCCATCTGTTATTTTCACATGAAGATTTCATCTTTTTAGTAGCTGAGTAATATTCCATTATATATATATATATATATATATATATATATATATATATGTACATACATATACACACACACACATATATATACATATATACCCATATATATATACACACACATATATACACACACACATATATATATAATACATATATTCTCTCTACATATATATAGTCATGTTGTTGCTTAACTTGGGCATACATTCTGAAAAATGGTGATTTCCTCATTGTATGAACACTGAGTGTCATTTCACAACCTAGGTGTGTACAGCCTGCTACATACCCAGGCTGTGAGTGTAATCTACTGGGTCCTGTAGGCAGCCTTTTGTTGGCTAAAATGTTGAACGACCACAATTTCTTTATCCATCCACTGATTCATGAACACTTAGGTTCCATAACGTGTTCCAGAGAGACTTACTGGGGTTAAGGGTGAGGACCTAAGGTTAGGTGGACTCACTTTTTATTGGTGAATTAAAATGTAAGAATGGAAAGTTCAAAGCACAGAAAGGGGGGAAAACCCAAAAACTAGTGTCTTTAAACTGATCAGGTAATGAAATCAAGAGTTCTAAAACAAAGGACTGGAAGAGGTGGTGGGATGAAAGGCACCTCAGCTCTTCATCTAGTTCTGCGATTGGTGTGTTGATTGGAGTTAGTAGTCTTTGAAGTGGATGCCTAGGCAATCATTGTCAGGCACTTGTAGAACAAAAGATCAGGGTTCCCACTAAATCAGGCCTCTAACTACTGTTGTTTCCCATACTGGTTGCACCATTTGACATTCACACCATTGTTGTAGAAGGGCTTTTCCTCCACATCTATAGAGCACTTGCTACTGGTTTTTTTGATAGTCTTTCCAGTAAGTGTGAGGGTATATTCCCATTGTGGTTTCGGTTTTCATTACACTGAATGATGTTGAACCTCTTATACCTTTTGGTTGGCTGGAAAATACCAAGTTTAAGTCTTCTCCCATTTTTTTTTTTTAAAGATTTATTTATTTATTTGTGCATACAGAACTGGGGTATAGGCCAGAGGCTCAGGGGCTGTGAGAGGCTTCACCAGAGACAGAGTGGGGAGCAGAACAGGCAGATCGACCAAGTACACTGCTGAGGGGAGCAGCGGGCGGGTCAGGAGAGGTCTGGCTCGCCATGTGGTCACCTCCGGGGCAGGCGGGAATCGAACTCATGCGGAAGTGGCTTCAGATTCTCAGTGCTGTGCTTTAACCCGCTGCGTCACCAGGGAGGGCCAAGTCTTCTCCCATTTTTAATTGGTGCATGCTTTTGCTGTTAATTCAGATGAGTTGTTTATGTATTTGGATATTAAGCCTTTGTCAGCTTATTTACAAATTTAATAGGTTGTCTTTAATTTTTTAAATTTTCCTTTGTTATGCAGCAGCTTTCTGGTTTGATGTAGTCCCATTTATTTTTGCTTTTGATGTTAGATTTCAGAAAATCGTTACTAAGACCTGCTCCAACGAGCTTATTGCCGTTTTCGTCTGAGTTTTACGGTTTCAGATCTTACATTTAATATCTTTGCATGGTGCAAGATAGGGGTCTCTTCCTTTTAGCCTTCTAAATAGTGTTAAATAGTCCCATGGGCCAAACTAGCCCACCACCTTGGAGTACAGCCATGGCTCCCTTGTTTGTGCATTTTCTTGACTATTTAGATTGTAATGATAGAATTGAGCTATTGAGTCATTCTCCACTCTGTAGCTAATTTGAATTTTCTAAAACAATTCAATCATGTCACTTCTAAAATGTCATCTTACATTTCTCAAAAGGGACTCTTATCTCTGCTTGTCACTTGCCTGTGCACTTCTACATTGTCTCCCCTCCCGGCCAAGTAACAGAAGTTTCTTAATTGCTTTAATTGCCTTCCTCCCTAGACGAAGCGCAGGTTTTACCTGTTATTTCTAATTTCAGAGTAAATACTTGCCAATTGAATAATATTGTGTTCATGTTATAGGTACCTGTCTATTGTACTAAAACTGGTGTAAAACATTTGCACCACAAGGCACGAGAGTTTGACATTGGGGTTTATTTTGAAGCAAATGGGCATGGCACGGTAAGTCCGACTTCACTGGTATTTTCTTTGATGGAAATTTTGTATCTGGCTATCAATATGTAATGTTACTTTTTGTTGAAATGATGGGTAGGAGAGTGGACTGTTTGGTTAACTTAATATTCTCTTAGGTATTGTGAAGCTGGTTCTTAGATTGTGGTCTGTCCTTGAGTGTGAAGAAACATACTAATTTGTTATAATAGTTTCATTAAAAAATGTGCAGATATTTAATTTTCTTAGTACATAATATGTCTACATTATTTCCCTTAAAAATTGGCTATAGTGATAAAAGGAAAGGTTAGTAACTGGTAAATTGAAAGTTTGAGAATTAAGTCTTAAAAGGAGTTTGAAGTAATTGGCCATAGCATATAAAATTTTATGTTCTCTTAGCAGACAGAATGTTCTAAGTTTTTTTATTGAGATGTAATTCACATACCAGAAAATATACTACTTATATTCATTATTTAATATTTAAATGGTTTTGTTTACATAGGTTCAGAATTTTTCATTTTAAAAGGCTTTTCATACCTTACCACATTCATAGTGGACTGGAGGTGGCCAACAGAAAATGTTACCTAGGTCAAATAATTTTCTTCATTGATTTAAGAATTGAGTTCTAGAGGTCAGGAATATAAGAAAGTAAGTGCAATTAAAATATAACCTAGTGCAGGGTTTGGTAAGATTTTATAAGAGATCAGATAATATTCTGGACATCATAAAACATAAGATCTCTCTTCTCAACTCTACTGGTTTGTAGGGTGAGTACATGAATATAACTTTGTTGTAACACATTGCCAGTCTTAGTTTGTCAAAAAATATGTATTCTAGCAAGTACTGAATATAACAGTGCTGTTCCTTCTCTATATTGGGCCTTTGTGTCATAGGCAACACATTTCAGAATGACAGGAATCTTGAAGAAAATGATATATATCCATGCCATTATTTGCCAGAGTAGAATTCCAGTGAACCTTCTTTCTACTTTAGCTTTTATTTAAAAGGTAGGACAGTTAAACTAAATGGATACAGATAGGCTGAAGGGGCCTAGTTGCACAGAATTGATGGAGCTGGATGAGAGGCAAACAACAAACTCCTGGTATACATTCACTTTTGTGAAGGTGGTATTTTGTAATCAGTTTTATAATCCTTCCCTCCACCCCCTCAAGTATGCAGAGGCACCCATTCCCTTCCTCAGTTTCTCCAGATTGATCAAGACTTTCAAAAGTAATGTAGCTATGTTGATAGTACTGGGCCTGTTGGACTTACTGGATTGTGTTTAGTGATTTTATATGTTCCATTGCAGGTACTATTTAGTAAAGCTGCTGAAACAAAGATAAGGCAACTAGCAAAAGACCTAGAAGATAATAAAAGGAAAGCTGCTAAGATGCTTGAAAACATCATTGACTTGATTAACCAGGTCAGAGGCAGGTTCTCGATCACTTCCACATTACTCAGAATGTAGGCCGGGTAGTGTGCTGTCTCCAGAGTTAGGGGGAAGGCCTAGTGGGTGCCTGGTGCAGTGGTATGTACAGTGGGGATGTGCTTCTCTCCCCATACATTCTGCGATGAGAGCACTAATGAGTAGCTTAGAGTCAACAAATTGACCTACTTAGTGTGTTTGTGAATATATATGGCCAAATTTTTTTTTAAACCAACCTTTTTGAGGAAATTCAAGAGAAGTAACTGGCATTTCTGACAGAATATACACATACAAGTATGCCAGATAGTTGGGTTGGAAGACAGTGTGGGGGCAGTAGTGACAACTGTGAGCTTCTGCCACATTGGGCATGTCACAGCACTCATGTAACCCTTGTGGTAACACAGGCATTAGCTGCAGTTGCTCTGCTTACAAGCAGACAAAACCTTATACCAAAAGTCCTAATTTCTCCACTTTTCAGTGAATGAAGCCTTTTTGGTGTATTTCAAAGGTGATCTAATTGTAACAAAAGATTTGACTGTTAGGTAGATAACTTCAGGAGTTATCTGGTCTGATCTCATTTATCGACAAGGAAGACAAGTTTCCACATAGCTATTTTGTCTTCCCTATATTCATCCACACAACCAGTGCTGCTTGAGGGGAGGGGGAAGCACAGGATTCGGACTGCTCTCCTCACATAGACTGCATTCGTATTCAAGCTTTGTTTCTATTAGAGTGGTTTCTTCTGTGTTTCCCTTTTATAGGCAGCTGGTGATGCTATTTCTGACATGCTGGTGATTGAGGCAATCCTGGCGCTCAAGGGACTGACTATACAACAGTGGGATGCATTCTACACGGACCTTCCACAGAGACAGGTCAAAGTTAAGGTGTGAGCAGGATTTTAAAATTCTTTTCAAAAATTAAGTAAAACCCAAATGTGTCATACTTCATGAGGTATTAATTTCTTACAACTTTACAGGATAGTCCTTAGCCATTCTATTGTTTGAGACATAATATTTCCCACATTATTTTGAAACAGATCCCAGATAGCCCAGTCATTTTTACTGAAAGTATTTTCTTTACTGGTTTGTTTGCCGACAGAATCTGTGAAAAGATAAAAATAGTGGTGTTTGCAGAAGTGCTAATTGTTCAGATTTAGAGGCGAGCTTACCATGACCACCTTACCTTCTTTATACTTAAAA